CCGCGTAACCATAGAGCCTTAGTCCTGAGGTCACAGACAGCTGTACCCCACATCCCCCTCACAGCGCCACCTGGATCTCCCAGGAAGCCTTACATGCAGAGGCCAAGTCTAACTTTTTCTCATTAATTCTTTTCAGAGGTCAATTGTTTTTGTTCCCATGGTCAAGATAAGGACAATAAAACATTCTTGTAAGTGGAATGTAGCGATTTTTGCTTTGTTTTGTTTGGCGGGGGGTAGGTTGTTGTTATTTTGGATTTATTGCATTCAAAAGCACACACAAGTTGGTCCTTATGGCTCTGCTCTGGATATTTAATACGTATCAGACTTGCTGATTCATCCCACTAATATGATTAAAATTAAAGTTGTGCCCAGGTATCAATTTGCAGTCCCCAAATAAATTGTAAAAGAAAATCACAACCAAATACTTCTATTACATTTAACAATCATTTATTGAATAGTTACTATTTTTTTTTAATCCCCATTTTCAAGGTTGAAGAGGACACCGATGAAATGTAGACAAAGTCTTCGCTTTTGAGCAGACTATGCTGCAGCGTGTAAGGTAAAAACCTCACAAACGTCAGGTTACTACACAGCATGAGCACAAATGTGCGCACAAGAAATGACATGGGAGAAATGTAAGTCTAAAATGATTCAGAGAGAAAAAGAGATAGTGTGAAGATCTTTAAGTGGGTGATTCTGTTCAATATCCAATTTAGCAATTTATGATGAAACCTACAATTGCCAAGGGAATTGGAATTCCAAAGGCCATTCTTGATCTATAAAGATGTTGCCTGCAGACTGAGATTCTCTGAGCAGGGGGGTGATTGGGTGAATTTAATAGTTAACATCATCAAGGAAGGTAAAGGTGTAATGCCAGTTCAATTCCCATTCGGGGCACATGCCCAGGTGGTGGGCCAGGTCCCCAGTGGAGGGCTTGCAGGAGGCAGCCAGTTGATGTTCTCTCTCATTGATGTTTCTGTCTCTCTCTCCTGCTCCCTCTAAAAATAAATCAATAAAGAAAAAAAAAAGAACAGAATTCTGGTTCTGTGACTCATGAATACTGTGACTTTAAGCAAATCATTACATTGTAACCCCATGAGCCTCCATTTCTTCATAAACAAAATAAAATGTAATATCTGTCTACTAGCTATTGCCTTTGGTGAGATAATGTCACATGGACATCATTTGTAAACTGTAAAGCATTACTCAAATGGTAATTCAGGTCATCTTAGATACAAGGCATATGGTTACTAAGTTGCACTTGTGCAGCGAGAAAAAGATGAGAGGTTCCCCCACAGAGCCTCCTACACTGCTGAAGAGGGAGACAGGAAGAAGGATAGGCAGAAGGGAATACTACGAAGTGATATAAAAGCAACCCACGGTACTTCAGATGGCTACAGAATGCCCGGGGACAAAATCTGCTTGGCTGCCTCTGGTTTCATTCATGTCAGCTGACTGACTGATGACTACATAAACGGGTCAAGTACTGGATGTGTGACTCAACCAAGGTATAGCCGGGTGACACGCTTGAAAACCAAAGCAGGACGAGTCAAGTCTTATAGAAGAGGGTGAGAAAAAAATTTTGGAAAAATGAAACCACGTTGCTAAGCTCCACTCATTCACGCTGGAACGGGGAACATACGGCTGTCAGGAGACCATAGAGTCCGAACGTTTCACATCGGTTCAGTAATCATCAGAAATACTGAAACACTCTTACGTTGCCTTAAAACACAGAAGGCCCACACAGAAGAATGTATGCATCTGAACAGCTATAAAAATTACCCAGGATAAAAGGAAATGTTTTGAAGGCCACAACACCTTGAAGCTTACAAGGTTTACTCTGAATTATATGTAATATCAGGAAAAGTAATATCAAACCATAGAGAACAGATAGCAGACCTTATTTGCAACCTTTTCAAATCTTTATAAGACCTGCTAAAATGTGTCCAAGTAGAAAGGATTAAAAGTTTCTCTCACTATTATTTTCCATATTGGTGTAAGTAATGACCAAAAAAAGAAAAGAAAAAAAACAAACATATAAAGTCTGTATAACAGAAGAGAACAAAGCACATGGATGGATGAACAAGGAGGAGTCCGGGAAATCACAAAATACAGTAATTTCCACAGAAAATAGAATATCATATTTCAGATATCCTAATTTAAAATAATATTTCAATAACTTCTGACTCCAAAATTTACTGTCATAACTATGTAATTCTCAGCCAAATAATTACTGCTTTAAAGCCCGATTTCCTCAAATGAATAATTCTTACTTTTAAACAATTAGCCGCTACAGCACAGAACCTGACTCCATGGAACAGGCCTAGTGAATGAAAATAGTTTGCACTTTACTTCTTACCTTTCCTCAGCTTAAAGAAGAAATATATAATTCTTAATTAACGACCTTCAATGCAATGAGAGCATATACATCTGTGAAAGGTTCACAGTTCCGCTAATATTACCTTAAAATGTATAAGGTCAAGGCAAGTCCAAAGTTCTGGCTACTTGAAGGGAAATGGCAGAATATAAAAAGCCACATTATTTTATAGATAAAATAATTTGTAGTTGTTCTTTTTTACCAAAAGGACCATAAAAGAAAGAGCATTCTAATGACCAGGGTTTTTCTTCTTGCAAACAGTTTTCTATTTACTACCAATTTAGAATGGGAAAAATTGGACAATTTTTAAAAATTTATTATTATTTTTTAAAATCCTTGTTCGGGCTAATGGACAAGGCCAGGTAGACAGATGAATCCCTGAGGGATATCTGTGAGGCATACATATCATGCAAAAAGCTTACCAATTTCACATGAAATGTTTTCTTACCAAAATAAGTGTTTGGTTTAACTGAGAAAATGTACTCATCTCTATGGGTTATGTCCACGATGGTAGGCTCAAGATCAGTCACATGATTAATAAAATGTAATTACTGTTATGTTTAAACAATGATTGGCACCATTGCCACTATTATTATTATTATAATTAATTATTATTATTATTACTTTGCATTTATCTTCAGACAGAGCGGGAGGGAGAGAGGGAGGAAGAGAGAGAGAGAAGACACATTGACTGGTTGCCACCCACATGACCCCTACTGGGTCTGGGTCGAACTGCAACCGAGGTACGTGCCCTTAGAGGGAATCAAACCCGGGACTCTCTGGTCTGTGAACCAACACCCTAACTACTGAGCCAAACAGGCCAGGGCATTGGCACTATTAATCACTATCATCATGATCATTACCAGTTATTGAGTCCCTACTACTTTCAGGAGTTTAATCCTCACATAATCTTAGGAAATAAGTAACATCCTTATTTAATTCAGAGAACTGATTATTTTAAAACACAAGGACTCCCAAGTGCTGGCTTAACCGAAGTCCTCCAGAACTCACAGGACAACAAGCAGAGAGAAGGGCAGCTGCTCATCGCCCAGGCCGTGTCCATTCCCAGGACGTACAAACAGAACCACCTCCTAAACACATTTGAAATTCGGTCCTGCCAACCAAAACCTAACTGTAACACTGTAGGGGACTTTGGGAATAATTGTAAAAGCCAATCTTGTGAGTAGCTGGGAAATTAAAGGTGGCAGACAAAGATTTAAGTTCACGGCTCAGAGTATTAATTTTCATCTTCGACCGTCTATTATAGCTACTAAAGAAATTAAGGCTTTGCTTTTGAAACTCTTTTTAACATTTCTCTTCCTGATGGGTTTTTCATCTAATTGCCTTATATCCCTTTAATTATCCAAAAATGTTTCCAAATGGCACTGTGTGCCCATAACAATGGAAATTATTGGTCACAAATGAATTTTGGGTCATGAACCTTACAGGCAAAAAGGGATTTCCACACTTGATAGTTCTACACTCACTGCATGCTCAAAGGGCTACACGAACAAATCAAGTTCCAGCAGTAGCTTCAAGGGAGATTATTTTAGACAGAGCGAAGGCAGTTGTTGGCCTTGTATAAACAATGCAATTGTCTCCCTGAAAAACCACTTGACCTCATCCCATCCTAATGTGTCCACAGGTAAAGTAGATGCTATTGGTTTGGTTTCCAAGCCTGCTCCCCATATAATTAGACACTTTCCTCTCTTATTCATTATATTTCACCAGGTTTTAAAATAGCTCCAGTTTATTCAGAGGAAAATTGAGTAACAAGCTGTACAATTTAGACATATGAATAAAATTTTGTATTCCAGAAGCTCAAATCTTGTGACTTTAGACTAGAAATACATTTCCCCCCTAAATTTTCTGTTACTCTGTAAAGGGTTAATTAAAACATGCATTTGCCTGGATTAAAAAAAAAAAATCACCAAATCTTAAAATCAGTATCATTTAGACTTCTGATGCCAAAAATCTGTTTGACAGAGCAGGTTTTACTATACTGACATTTTAACAGTAGCCAAAGTCCTGTTCCCACTAAATTCTGTCTTGGCAGCACCAATAATTTGCTAACAACCTAAACTCCTCCTGGCGTCAAGTTTTCTACATCAAGAGCTTTCTGCAGAAACCGTGCAACAAGGAAGTTGAATTGAGTAAGTTCTTACGATAGCTACTCTTATCATAGAAACTAAGATTTCTGTAAAATGATAGCAGTTTCAAAGAAGAGCTACAGATTTATTCATTTTACCTTGGATTGGACTTTCATACAACACAGTACAATCACCCATAAATGTCTCACTAATAGTAAAGTTGGATGTTCTCACATTACCTCAAGATTAAAAGCAAATAATCATTCAAAGAGTAAATAAAAAGATCTAGTTCCAAATTATGAAATGACAACAACATTTCCTAATCTTCTCATCCTTCAAATCAGGACATTCCCAGAAATACGGAAAAATGTACAAGCATGTTCATTGAGATGGCATCCCAGACATCTTTCACAGGTTTTGAGGGCTTCAAATCATTACTGTCAAAATTTTACATAAAGCTTAATATTTTGTTTGAGAAGTCTTTCCAACACTTTTTAAATCAAACCGTACAGAAAACACTTGACTCAACTTACCCTGCTGCTGGATGTTAAAGAACTGGGAAGAGGGTTCCAACCAAGTCAATTCACTTAATTTTTCAAGTAGATCAGATTACTCTCGTCTTTAAAAAAAAACCTCAAAGACTCCACCTGATAAGAAAATAAAACAACAAAAGATAGTGTTTAAATCAGAGCGGCATTATATAATCTATACATTAATAACAGAAATCAAACCAAGATCATTGCTGTAGCTGCTCCCAAGTTACCATGCTACTTAAAGCTATACAACAACAAAAGCCTCTGCCAACTAAATTAAATCTTCCAGTTTGGAGTGAAATGGACATTCAAGCATAGGGAAAACAATAAACAGCACCACAGAGTGTGAGAACAGAAGAGTTTATTTTCAGGACTGATTGGCCCACGGAAAGATGACTATCTCATGTCAGTTAGGATATTAAAATTAAACATGAGGGAGAGATGAAGCTGATTGCTTTAGAATTCGACTCATTGAATCTTATTAATTTGCTAATGCAGTAAAAGTGTGTGGGTTACAGTTCTTTAAAGCTTTTAAGGTATATAAACTCATACGCAGATAGATCATCTGGAAAGAACTCACCAACATGAATTTCCAAGTCATTCTTAAAAACTTACACCCTGTCTCTCACAGGAAGAGTTTTCTAAAGTTCCATAAATAGCTTACATAGGGTTTATAAAGATTATCAATTAATTCTATTCATTTTACTAGTAAATACACCTTTTATGAAGCCCAAATATTAAATTATTATCTCAGCTCCAGAAGAAAGTCTGAGAGAAAGTAAGCTATCTCTCAACTGGCGAAAGCCTAAAATAAGTGGGATGCAGGGTGCGGGGGAGGGGGGGTGTTGGTTTGACCAGAAGAATGATAAAACTGGACAGCGTCCAGCTACTCCTGAAACAGGTTTTCTAGGGCAGAGTTAGTATGTTTTAAAGTCCCAGAATGTCAAATACAACCACATTCAAGTGAAAGTTCAAAAACCTACTCCAACACCACAAATACATAATTTTTTTACTATACAATTTGAAATTAGCCACAGGCTGACACTCCCCAAATCCCACAACACATGCTAGAAAAATGAACTGATAGTTATCTGTTTTTTTGTTTGTTTTTTTTTTAAAAAGGCTGAAATAGATTTTCTATCCACTATTGAATGGTAGATGTTCAAAAAATGAATAAATAAATAAATAAATAAACCAAAACAAAAACATTCCTAACAATGAAGACAAGTAACAATAATTATACATACTAAGCAGAAATCCAGGGTAGTCATGGAAATTAGGTTTCTACTTCCAAGACACCTATGTCTAGATTCCTGTCTTATTGCTATTCAAGAAATAGTTATGTAGGAAACTTATTTGGATATGGTCTCAAAAGATTTACTTATTCACAGAGATAAATAGTCTTAATTATTAGTCCAGGGTTCTTGCCATAAGTATGACAAGACAAATGTCAAACAGTTTTGTTATTAAACTATATCAACAAATATAGGCACCTAAACAATAAATTCCAAAATGATACAAAACAACAGATTCATTTTTCACATTTGAACATCTAGAGCTGTGAAAATAATTTATTTTTCCAGCCTTTCATGAAAGAATTAGAAAGCCTCTTTTATATAATATTTGGTATCTATATTGATAATACCCTCTCTGAATTCTTGCCATGATAGTTTTGTGTTAATACACTCACAACTTATTTTCATATAAGTCACTTTTCAAGAAAAAGTAATGGGCTTCTTCTCATGGGATGAACTTGAAGAGTCTTAAGAATCCTTTCTCATTAACGTGAACCTCCATGTACTATCAATGGATTGTGAATTGGTGCAACCACTATGGAAAACAATATGGAAGTTCCTCAAAATATTAAAAATAGAACTACCACATGACCCAGCAATTCGACTTCTGGGTTTTTATTTTAAGAAATCTAAAACATTAATTTGAAAAGATATCTGCATCCCAACGTACACTGCAGCATAATATACAATAGCCAAGATATGAAAGTAAACTAGGTGTCCATTGATATATGAACGAACAGAGAAGATGTGATATATACAAAATGGAATATTACCTTGCCATAAAAAAAGAATGAAATCTTGCCATTTTCAACAACATGGTTGAAACTTGTGGGTACCACGCTAAGTGAAATAAGTCAGACAGAAAAAGACAAATACTGTATGATTTCACTTATATATGGCAAAAACTCACAGATACAGAGAACAAACTGATGGTTGTCAGATGGGAAGGACATTTTAACAGTAGCCTGTACAAAAGTCTAGACCTATCATTCCTCTTTCTTTCCTTGCTAATTTCTTAGGTTAAGTATGATTTTCTTAAATATGTTGTTCTTGTCTCATAAAGGGACTTAAAATTACTTGAGTATGACCAGTCATTAAGGCGGTGTTTTAAAAGGTTGCTCACTTATAATATAGCAAATAGATTCATTTCAATCTAACGATGGTTACCTGAATGGTCAGTGATTCCAAATTACCTAGGAATTTTTCAGTGGTGATATGGCATCCCATATCACACTTCAAAAGCAGTAGGTACCATATTTGACAAAGGTGGCAAGAGCATACAGTGGAGTAAGGACAGCCTCTTTAATAAATGGTGTTGGGAAAATTGGACAGCTACCTGCCGAAAAATGAAACTAGACCATCAACTTACACCCTACACCAAAATAAACTCAAAATGGATAAAAGGCTTAAATGTAACTCATGAATCCATAAAAATCCTACAGGAGACTGTGGGCAACAAAATCTCAGACATCATACGCAGCAGAATTTTTACTGACACATCACCTAAGGCAATAGAAACAAAGGAGAAAATGAACACATGGGACTACATCAAACTCAAAAGCTTCTGCACAGCGAAAGATACAATCATCAAAACGGAAAGGCTACCCACTGTATGGGAGAGCATAATTGCCAATGATATATCAGATAAGGGGTTAATTTCCAATACATATAGAGTGCTCATACAACTCCACAAAAGGAAGACAAAGAATCCAATTTAAAAATGGGCAGAGGAACTAAATAGACACCTCTCCAAACAGGACATACAAATGGCTAAGAGACATATGAAGAAATGTTCATCATCACTAATCATCAGAGAGATGCAAATCAAAACAACAATGAGGTATCACCTCACACCTGTCAGAATGGCCGCCATCAACAAATCATCAAACAACAAGTGTTGGCGAGGGTGTGGAGAAAAGGGGACTCTAGTACACTGTTGGTGGGAATGCAGACTGGTGCAGCCACTATGGAAAACAATATGGTGTCACCTCAAAAAATTAAAAATTGATCTCCCATTTGACCCAGTGATCCCACTTCTAGGAATATACCCTACGAGGCATAAAACACCAATCAGAAAGAATATATGTACCCCCATCTTTGTAGCAGCACTATTTACAATCGCTAAGATCTGGAAACAGCCCAAGTGCCCATCAGTAGACGAATGGATTAAAAAGCTGTGGTACATATACACAATGGAGTACTACGCAGCGGTAAGAAAGAAAGATCTCTTATCCTTTGAGACTACATGGAGGGACCTGGAAAGTATCATCCTAAGTGAAACAAGCCAAACAGAGAAAGACAAATTTCATATGATCTCACTGATTTCTGGAATATAATGAACATAACAGTTTGAAGACAATCCCCTAAGGAGTGGGGAGGTGAGAGAGGGATGAACAACAGAATTTATATGCATGTAGGCATGAACAGTGGACATGGACAACAATCGGGGGAAGGGGCAGGGAGGGAAGGGGGAGGGGGGAATCAGTGGGGGAAAAAAGGAGAATCATTTGTAACAAAAATTAATCAATAAAAAAAATAAATAAATAAATAAATAAATAAATAAATAAATAAAAAGCAGTAGGTACCAAATATATTAGTCACCTGTTTGGATCATTCTGTTAAATGACTGCCCCATAGTCAGCACAGAAGATACAGATCTGTCGTGTTTAACAAGGAAGCCTCGTGTGTACAACCACAATGCAACGTTCTTAGAAATGTCCATTTCCTTGGACATGAACAGTGACCTGAGATATGATCATAGCCTCCCTGCAAGTTCTACACGACACTGCAGTGCAACACCTAAAATAACTGTATAACCTAGTGAAAGCAGCTGAGTCTAAACCTCCTTACCTTCCATTTATTTTTATTGCCTGCCTCACCACACTAAGAAAAAAAAACCCACCTCAGTCTGCGGTATTTGGGCTCCATCAGAAAATCTAAATATAGCTGAACTTTGTATTTCAGTCAGTTGCATGGTTTAAACAATGGAGTAATTTATCATTAGGTAATATTTGATCATGTTGTCACCAATTGCTCTCTTTCAGTTATTTGCGCATAATAAATCAGATTACCTACAATGATAGATTTGCGTATGTTTCTCTACCTGAATGGTTTACCCCATGCAGTATACAAGAGACATGCTTCCCAGGTTGACCCGGACACTCTGCAGCCATGCGTGCTGTTCTAACAGCAAACACAGTAAATCACCTCTTCCAGAAGCACTTTATGGTAGCAAATTTTCGTGTCTTTATAGCCCTGGACTCACCCTTAGTGCTCATCGAATACCGTCCTTCTCTTGAGGATGAGACTGAGGCCCAGAAGGTCACAGTCAGTTGCCCAAGGTCATGCAACTAGAAGGCAGGTTTCCTGCCTGCTTTTGCACTATTTTCCCCTTTACAACATAGAGCCTCTTTGCCTCCCATAAGCAACAGCTCAATTATATTTAGCAAGAGTTTTTGAGCTCCAAGGATGTGAAAGATGCTTCTCAGCTTAAAACGTGAAGGCATTGAGTGCAAAGTGAATGAGAATAGACCCGAAAATACTATAAGCTCTATGCCCCCCTCTTCATCATGGTTATCATCAACTCAATTATTTTCAGACCTAGTTTAAGAAAAAAAAGAAAAAAAGGCCACGGAGAAGAAGGAGAGTGAGAACACCGTGAGACTGTTACACGCCCAGGACATCCGGCTGAGCTGTGCGACAGCATTTGGAAAACAGTGCCCTAACAGCCAGAGTTAGTACAGCTGTCCAACTTAGTCATTTCTAGTCATCTTCCTTATTGAAGAAGAATTTTGAAGACATTTTTTAACCAGAAAAACC